TTGGGATAAGGTTGGCTCAAAGTTCTGCTGTCCCCATAATGTAATATGTCCTATATTATATTATCAAAGGGCACTAAAGGATTTTTAGAGTGAGCTTCATTACCTTAATTAACTTTGCCTCTTTACAGCTCAGGAATCCAGGACAAGTGAATTGCCTCCTCTACCTCTAGTATTAGTCATGGAGGAGGAAAAGCACCCCTTGTATCCCACTATCCCAGACAATTAGCTTAAGGCAGGGGAAGTCACAATATTGTCTTTCTTGAGAATAATTTGCTAAGCCTTGGAGTCAGAAAACCTCCTGATACTATGGCAAAGCTTTATGGTCTGAGATTTGCGGGGCAGTTTAAACACACGGTGTTTACAGCTAGTAAACTTACAAAATAGGAGACACTGTAAAGAAAATAACCACAAACAGTTTCCTACTGGACAAGTCACTGTGAACAAGTTAGCAAATCTAAAGGCATCGTGGTGTCCTTTTACGGCACAAGTGCTCACTTCCCTCCTAACCACTGCACGTGTTCTCAGAATTACATAGCACAATCCCACAAAGTAATTCAGAGAGCAACATGATAGCGTGGTGCCTGTGCAGAGTGAAATACACTGTTGTATGTGTAGGCACAACTGATCTCAGTCAAGACCCAATTTTGTATCCTTAACAGCATATTGCTTTTTGTCTCCCTGATCTGCATTGGGTCTCTTGATACCCGTGTGAATTTCCAAGATTCTGCTGTATACTTTGAGAAGGTGATTGATTCCTGACCCAGAGAAATACAATAGGAAGTACTTGTCTTTACCCCGTCCGTGCTTATGCTTGTTGTTGATGACAATTTGTACTATCGTTCCTGAAGCTTGCTGGGGATCCGGTAAGACTCCACGGTTACTCCTGGCATTGGGAAATCGTGGAATGTTGACTACCTGCCTCGCAGAGCTGGGTGACAGGTCATAGTGGGAGCGATGGTACGAGTGTCTCTGGAGACAGAAAAAGAGCAGGAAAGTAAATGTCTCATTTAAATGAACAAGGGGAAGGACACCATACTAGAAGCTTAACACAGGCAATGAGAGTGTTGCCACTATCATCAAACATGATTAAATGTAATAAATGGCACCATACTAAATAAAGGCCGTTCAGGTTTTGCAGATAGTTAACGTGGTAATGAAGTCATCTACACATACACAGTTGTAACTCATCTCACCAGACTGTATATATCAGCGTAGGTGTCTTTATCTAAGTCAGTCATCTCAAGTCCCTAATCAAGTCAATGGGCAGAGAGGCAATTTTAGAACCTGACCTGCTGTAGCTCTCTATATCATGAGGAGGTGAATCACAACCCAGAAATGCCTGTTTTGCTCCGTGGACAAAAAAAAAAGTGGTGTTCAGAGCTAGGTATCTACTGTACTGATGTCTACTCTACTTTGAGATTAGATGAGAAAAATTGTAAGCCTGTCCAGTTTTCCTCATCAAAACTGCTTTCTACTGGGGCTCCAGCGGCAGAGCATGTGCAGTATGACCATCCAGCTTCTTGTTTGCTTGCAGTTTTAAACTGTCATGCAAGGCCAGGGTTAGCCTTGCACAGACTGAGCAGAACCTTACTAGAATCTGTGTCACAGCCTGGGAAGTCTCATTTTATTTGCAAAGGGAAGTAATAGTAGTAGTAGTGTGCAGTGTGTTTTCTAAAGAAAAACCACTGGTTGTTTTCAGAAAATTATCTTCCAAAATACCCATGGGCATGAAGGATAGTGTATAACAGCACCTATAAGGCATGATTCTTCTCACTAATCCAAAGACCTGTTGGTTCATGTATTTAGGTAGCGCACCTAATGCTTAAAAGCTCTTATTCTCTCCAAATGATGTTATAAAATCATCTCTTGAGGAGTAAGTTGTTAATGGATACTCTTAGCCCCCAAGGCAGTAAAACCCCTGAAGTAAATATATACATGTGTATATGTCAACTGGGAAGTAAGTGTTTGCAATTATGATTTAAAAGTAATGCTTGCATAGCAAACAAAACGCTGTAGAATTTCATTCTTATAGAGCATACACAACAAAGACCGAACCAAGAGCCTGCAGGAGCTCATGGGAGTTGGTAATTCAGCGTTATTAATGAATTCAGGTTGAGTTTATTAGGGGGGTTGCGGAAGTCGAAGAAACCTGTTTTGGGCTAGATTCACAGAATCCAGGCTGAAGCAGTAGATATTCAGACTGATATCATCCTTTTCTCCTTTTTCCTCAAAGTACTGGGGCATGCACAGCACAGCAGGAAAACATGTCTTTAAATTGTAGGTCGCACTTACGGCTTCCCTGTTGGCTGGCTGCCGGAAGATATCTCCATCGGAATGTTCCCATGATAATTCTCCATCTCCTGTACGTGAAGCAGAGCAGTATCAGTTAGGGGAGTAATTGTGTGACACCTTGGGAGATACTTAGGGGAAAAATCTGATCCAGCTTTACAGCTAGATTTAGGGTGGAGGTGGCATCAGTGTGCAGAAGTGTCAGTCTGTAGGCTGACTTCATTGTACCAGATTCTGTAGAGACCAAAAGCAAGATCCCTTCCCACACATTAAGCAAACTTAGGATTAAGATTTACTATCAGATTTATGCAGCTTAACAATATGCTATGAGCAAGGTAATTTCCAGCAACCATTTCCTATGTGATCTCAGGCAAAGGTGAGGAGACGTGACTTAGCTTAGCTCACAGAGAAAGGCTAAATGGTCTGACCTTCCATCTGCTGTGGGCTGAGGGAACCCACAAGCACAGTTACTCTTGCCTGACATGTAACTTGACTGAGAACTGAATCCTGAATTACATTTTTGTAGTCAGCTCTGAAGTGTAGTCATTAATAAATAACATTGTATTACATATATATCTCAAGAAAAATTAAGCCATATTTTGTCCTGAAAATTTCCTGTCCCCGAACCTATATGGTTGTTTTTTCCCTCTTATTTATTCTTCATTTAATAAAAACTGCTAAGTCACAGTTCACCCCCAGGTATGATTATGAACCAGGGAGGCGCTTTCATCTATTTGTCAAAGATAGACTGTTTCATAGATAGAAGTGACAGCCATGCTCAGTGCGTGACTCATTAGACACAAACCAGCAGCTCTTCCAGGAAGCCAGGCACATGCAATGAGTTATGGCACGGAGCACGAGAAGTTGGCCCGCTAAAGACTGGATCCCATCTAAGCTCACAGGATCCTATATTTTCATGTAGAGATTATGAACTGTTCAGCACTGTTTTTTTGAATCAGGCCAATAAAAGTACTACAGAATAAGGCTCATAGCACTAAAGACACTCATAACAAAGTAAGGACATTCTGATTTGTGTTTTAAAAGAGAAAAGGTTTTGCTAGAGCACTTGTCATTTGTGCATGTGATGCAGAAGTAATGAATGCTTTTGCAAATCAATGTGAGGGACTTGCAGAGTCAGGCTCTGGTTCCTCACAGCCAAACATGTGACTCATGGAAAGTTGGAAAGAAGAAGAAACCCTTAGTTTCTAGTCAGGAGTAGTGTCCAGCTGTTTTCTTTGTAAAGACAACTTCATAAATACGAACATAACTAAGCATAAGCTATGGTGGAAATTATAGCAGGGAAAGATCAGTTCAGGCTAGACAGAGAATGCGGCTTCAAGAATTTTTCAGAGAGGTATTTAGAGGTGTTCCTTGGTAAGACAAGCCATGGAACGTGAAATAGTATCTGATTCTTGCAAAACTTGTGCAAGAACAGGAAAAATCATTTAGTGTGGAGGGGACCTTGGAATTTATCCCGACCTTGGAATTCAGATACAGGTACAGATAACACTGCTTTGATAGTGGCTGAAAGCCTAGCTCTAGGTGTGCCAAGCATTGCACTGGAATGCAGAGCAGTACCACCACATCAGGAGCCTTACATTAATGGTACAGATCACAAGCTATCAAAGCAGGATAGCTGCTGCAGCAGTAGTGTGTGATTCTGGCTTGGGAGAGCCATGGTGCTGATGCAGGTATGCCTCCAGTCCTGGAGTTAACTCACCCAGATCTATCCTGGATTCACTACCTTAGTGCATACTATGTGTTAGCATTTTATCCTCTAAGCAGTTTATGAGAACTTTCCCCTTAACTTAAGGAGAAGTTGGATCCTGACATAAATCAGCATCTGAACCATAGTGCGTGGAGCCTTCTTTAGTCAGCAGTAGAGGAATGAAAAGGAAAACCAGCAAATTTTAACATATTATGTTAATATATTTGGCCATACGGGGAGCAGAAACTGACTCTCAGTTTCCTTCCCATGAGCTGTGCTAGATCTTGATACACACAAGAGAGATCAGACAGCTTTATAAGCAGTTTGCCTGGCAAAATGTTTCGAGATTTGTAAAGATACTGTGGAGTAACGTGGCAAAGCAGCAGAGAATGAGGAACAATCTCCAAAACAAGACATCCTCATCCTTGCTCTGACTCAGCTGATGTATTTATGCAGCACACAGCATTGCCCCACCAAGATATGAGTTCAGGTCCTACATGGTGCCATGCTTAAATTAATTACCACTGCATCTCTGCAGGTTAAGGAGCTGGCACAGCTCCCTGCACTGAGATGATTACACAGCTGCTATCCAGGAACTTGTTCCTTCAAAGCGTGCTGTACCATCTCTGCATCACGCTGCATTAAGCACTGATGCACTCTGAAGTACCCTCTTTTTGGCTCAGCCCCTTCACAGCTCAGAGCTTTTGGTCCAGTGTGGGTACTCAGTGAACTCCTTAGGACAGGGACTGTGGGACTATGCTAGTTTGTGTTTCACAGCTCTAGCACCAAAGGCAAAATTATACAACTGACAATATAATACTCCTTATTTGTACCATGCAATAGTACTGAGTTCAAACAAGCAGAATCTCCAAAGCATGTAGGTGCAGAAAGGTGCAAGCAGGACAGTTTTTCAAAGCAGCCTGGCATCACTGATATCAATAGAGTGGCACTTCTGAAAACCATAAGTACCTTTAGGTGCTTATCTGCATCTTTGAGAACTGGCCATAGGTGCTTAGATACCCTAGAAGTGGTGATTCAAATGCCACAATACTACTAGTGAGATAAAATACTGCGCTGATTTTGGCTGGGACAGGGTTCGTTTTCTTCCTAGCAGCTGGTATACGGGGCTATGGTTTGGATTTGTGCTGGACACAGCGTTGAGCACACGGGGATGGTTTCCTTACGGCTGAGCAGGGCTGACACAGAGCCAAGGCCTTTTCTGCCTCTCACCCCACCCCACCAGCGAGGGGCTGGGGGGGCACATGGAGCTGGGAGGGGACACGGCCAGGACCCCAACTGACCCCAGGGGTATCCCACACCGTATGACGCCATGCCCAGCACATAAAGCTGGGGGAAGAAGAAGGAAGGGGGGGGACATTCAGAGCAATGGCGTTTGTCTTCCCAAGTCACCGTTATGCGTGATGGATCCCTGCTGTCCTGGGGATGGCTGAGCACCCACCTGCCGGGGGGAAGGAGGGAATGAATCCCTTGTCTTGCTTTGCTTGCATGCGTGGCTTTTGCTTTACCTGTTGAACTGTCTTTACCTCAGCCCATGAGTTTTCTCACTTTTACCCTTCTGATTCTCTCCCTCACCCCGCTGCAGGGGAGTGAGCGAGTGGCTGCATGGGGCTGAGCTGCTGGCTGGGATTAAACCACAACAAACACATACAGAAATTCTCAGACATTTAGACAGGCTTTTAGACAGACATTTAGATTTAGACATTCAGAAAGGCTGGGAAGGCCCCTAGAATTAAGTTCTGTATGTGTACAAGATCTAAAATGCAATTGCTAGTAAAATATTGAAGTCACCTGAGTACAGATTGATGCCTAATTTAAACTGGAGTAATTGGCCTTACCCTCTGTATTGAAATTCTTGTGTCCGGCATAACTTGAGCAGGTCTGGTAATCTGTCAGATTGAAGCTCATCTTTTATGCAAAGCTTTTCTAACAGAGCAATGGCAGCTATTTCAATACATCATTTGAAGCCTTGATTTACCTTGTTATGGGGATGCAATTTTATCACCAGTGCATTCTCTCCTTGTTTCAATTTAGGAGAACAAATGTAGCAATGTTACCCTGATGGAATTCGAGGTTTAATTTCCCAACATGCATTGGATTGTGAGCACATGGGAAACTTGCAGATAGCATCCTGAGTGACACTGCTGGTGCACAGACAGAGCTCTGACAGGGGAAGGAGTAAATTCAGAGCCTGCACTTCTGTCATTGTACTCAAACTTACCTCTGCAAACTGGACAGCAGGACTCCGGAACAGAAACTGGGAAAGAGCAAGTTAATTTGGGACAAGTCTTCAACCCACAGTACACATTTCCTTCCTGCCAGTAAAACACAAGCAGAATTTAGAAGAAGTCATCGATTTGTCTGGTACTGTGTAAGCATTTTTTATGGACATGCTTAAATCCAGTATGCGTGTTTACATAAATGCCACTCTAGTATGCAAAAGCAGAATATTAGAGCAATGAAAAGTCTAAACAGCTTTTTTTAAATTTGTTGTTGCACAGAGGAAGGTCCCCTTCTTTAGGGAAGAAAGGAAGAGGTGAAAGTGTGTGGGGAGAACTGCAATTATCGTAGGCTGAAAATGTACCTGACGCGGTTGGTACTAAAATCATGCAGTGTAAAGTTCCCCCCCTCCTCCTCTCCCTCTGTTGTGTCTCACCATTGAACTGGAGGAATAGCTTAGCAGTAACTGGAAGTCATAAAGCCTGTTCAGTACTTGGCCTGTTAAATTTGTAGTTAATGTAGAATATGATGATTTGATTAGAGGAGGTCCAGCATTGCCAATACTTGTCACTGAAAAGCTGGTTGGATTGAGAGGGATGTTTTGGTTCAGACACTGGCTCTGAAGAGTCACTGGGTGACTGCTCAAATATCTTGGATTTGAATTGGTGACATCTCTGTGGCCCAGTGCCAGTTTACAGAGCTGTCCACTCCCAGCCTGTGGGGCTCTTTACTTATTATCAGCTCAGTCCGAATGAATTTAGTTTCAGTCAGTGGCTTAGTGCTATACTTTCCAGTCAGGTTGACGTGAAATATTCTACATATGCCAAGTAGCAGTATTTTACCTGCTGTGTCTGCACTGTAAGCTCACTTACAGCAGATGCTTGACAGGGTAAGCTTTGTCCACTGTGTTTGAGTAAGAGGTAGCCTGGCATTTACCAGGTGCTGCAGGCTGGCTCTAAGAACTCATAAGTTTCAGCATTAATTCTCAATTCCCAGCCTTTGCTATGAATTGCTTATACTTCAGTGTCATGTCTTCTGGAAAGGAGAAATGAAGCATAGGCAGAGCAGGGCTCTGTCAAATCATGTTACTTACTGAGCAGCTGCACTGGGCACACTGGTTTGCTTGCCTGTTTTGGAAAAGCCCCTCTGCCACAAACATTTCGCCATGATGATAGGTGGTGCCATTGTATTCACAGGATTTCCCGGTGATTTTGCTGCTTACTGAGAAAAGGGAGTCTTCTGGAAGCAATGGGAAAGGAACACTTCATACAAATGTTCTTGACAACTTGCAATATCACAAATACAGGGGAGGAAAAGCTTCCCTTCTCCCTCATTTCTCTTTATTATAAAAGGACAAGTTTTGTCATGCTACAAAGTGTAAGTGATGTCCTCATGCTTCTGTTTTGCTGAACTTTAATAATTCACACTTTGTGTTGACTGTCCCAGTTAATCTTAGGATGTTGAGATCAACTGCAATGTTGGCCATGTCTCATACTGCTGTATTTTCTCCTGCTCTGTCTGCTGTAGCATTTGGTATTAGGATAGATAGGTGCAGTTATGTGGCCACTTGTTATATATATGTGGCTTTTTTAATGCTTTAATGTAGAAGGCATCGGGTCCTGTATACACACAGAATCCCACTATCAGTAGCACTGTTCTAGCCTCGTTTCCCCCTTTAGTACTGGTATCATTTTTTTGATGATTTGTAGTGTTGTAACCCATAGAAGACTTAGTTGCAGGTTAGCAGGTTGTGCTGTAGGGCATGCATGATGCTACCCACAGGCACAAACCTACTGGTAGAGGAGCGGTGGTACTGATGGTGGAAACGTGTCAAGAGAAAACTATGTACTGTGTGTTTGTTCCTGGTGGCCTTCACAATTTTTTGCTGCTGTTGTTTTCAAAATGGGCAAAACTTGGCAAAGGCAGACTTCAAAGGCCACCCAAAAGCTGATTTTTCCCTTACATGCATTTTAATGTCAGATGTGCAAACGAGTGCATTTTGTTTGCAGAACTCAGTGCATATGACAAAGTGCACAAGATGGCAGTGTCAACTCAACCCTGAAACCTCCTGTTGCAACTCAAGATCATATCGAGTTCTGCACCACATGGGTTAAATTTTCTTCCAAGACACAAAGCTATCCATACCTTATGTTAAAACATCCCCTAGATTGTTTAACTATTAGCAGTTGACAAACTGTGCAAAGGGATTATAGTTTACTGATGAAATGGAAGTCACTTGATACCTACTGGGCAGTGAATCTGGCCCTATACATTTACATTCACATGAATTTAGCATCTCAGCATGGGAAGAGGCATTTCGAACAAGAGCTCTATGGCAGTAACAGTGGAGTGTTTGTTCTCTGGAGCCTGAATCACTGCAAATTTCTAGGAATGCAGCTGAAATTTCATTCAGTGCATTTGGGCTTTCCTGTAAAAGAAACCTGACCTGAAAATTCAGGTTTTGACGCAGCCCCTTTCATTATCTATCAGATAAACCTGGGGAGATTTTTTTGTGAAACTGTGCCACCACAAGAATGCACATATTTCAGCTGGGAGCTCAAGTAAAAGAGCAGTTTTCTGCTGGCATGCACTGGCATTAAACACTGACATTTAGAGTTTTCCATAAAAGCATATATTTAATTACAGTGGTCCATCAAATATTAATAATATTTTGAATGGTAAATGTCAAGTCTGGCTGTGGAACATACATGTACTGCAGTATTTGAGAGTCTAGTGGGTCAGCAAAGAACATTCTGCAGGGGAATGGCAGAAGTTAGCCATTTAGGATTCCTTGCCTGACATTTCATTTCTCTTCAAGAGACAGACATGGTATTTGCACTTCCTCCTTTGAAGCACCAAATACATCATTATTTCAGTGCAATCAAGAGTGTCTAATGATACCTTTCCAAAATCTGATAAATAGTACAGAGATTTGACAACACCTGTGCTTGGCATAGAAATGCAGTGCTTTTGGCTAGTAATAGACATTCTGGAATGGTAAGATGTATGCTCTAATTAAGACACATCCTTTGAAAGTCATCAGCAAAAATTTCAAGTGACAAATTTAGCTACTGTCCCATTAGGCAGGAACACTGGAAAACATGAATAAAGAGGCACTTCTCAGGACTGTGCTACCTCCCAAAACTTAACGTCACTACAGTTTCTTTGGCTTTCCGAGAATCATCTCACGGAAAGCAGAAAGAGAGACTGCCAAACCCGTAGTTACCCCCTTGCCCCTTGGGCACCTGGAAGAGCAGTAGAACTGGAAAGAAATGAAAATAAAAGGAGAAATGAGAGGAGGATACAGATGGTTCTTGTCTGGATACGAGGCCCCGTTCATGCAGACTCTGGAGGACATTGTGGTGGCCATGTGGGACGCCTGTCCAAAAGCAGTGTTTGGCTTGTGGTCTGACATTTGCAAAGACCAATACCTGAATGACTCATCATGACTCTTCAGAGTATTGGACGAAGAGAGTAAATTTTACTGCAGATTTACCTTGGTATGTGCCGCAGTGCTTGGATCACTATGAAATCACAAAATGCCTTTAAACTGTGGCTTCTAAAGAAGGGAAGGAGGATGGTGAAACTTCTATTGCTTGCAAAATGGCAGTGGAGAGTTGCAGTAGGTAGTTTGTTTTCATCTACGTTTCTTTTAAGCTGATCAGAGACGTTAGGCCTATAACAGCTAAATCATAACATGCAGCCCAAAAACATGTAGATCTGCCTGTCTTTGGAATATGGGATGAAGTTCTATTGCTGTTTTGAAGTCTTATTTGATGAAAGAAGATTGTAAGAAAAGTCAGTTCCAATTACAGGGAATAAGACCATGGTTTAGGTCCCATGCTGTACATACCTGTGCATATGATTATCTTTTAGCACATTAAGTGAATGGGCCTATTTGGTTGCATAAAATGAGGTTCAGAAGAAGTTTTCAGATCAAGACCACATTACTGTTACTGCAAAAAAATATATACAGTCATATATTGGAGACAACATATTGGAGAGCGCAACTGATCTTCTCCAAACACAGCATCTGTCTAAAACGGCAAGGAAGCTTTGTTTATATTGCATGTCTAAATATAACTCCTGTCTGGTGCAGTTTCTCCCTCTGTCTTTGCTAATGTGTGACTGACTTTCTACAACCAGGACTTGCCTTGGTTTCTTTTCTAGTGCTCTTTAAATCATGGCTAATTAGAGGAGTTCAGACTCCCTCATGATATCATATTCTCCTGCAGAATGTGAAATTAGAGTCATTGTGGATTGTTTTAATAAGTGCCAGGTTTGAACTTTGAAAAATCTTGGCGTTAATACTGGTATCAGCATGCATTATTCTGTGCCTTAGTTAAGATATGTTAGAATTAATTAACTGCAAATATACTGCATTGCTCGAAGCTCTATTTGTAAACTTTGCTTCCTAATCAGGATTGTTCCTAAAGCTTTATCTGGCATTTTAATGGTACTGACTAACATTGCTTTAATTAGCTGCCTCTGTAAAGTACCAGGCAAACCATCTGTGTGAATCCTTTTAATTAACTGGGTTCAATGTGAGCTTTTCTTTCTGGCATTCATAGCATGTCAGTGGAAGCAATATAAAACATATAGGGTAAAGATGTTTTAGCCTCAATCAAAAAGGAAGCATCTTTGTTTCTGTGGTTGGCATTTATTCTCTAAGGGCTCAGACTTCAGTACAGAAGACAGACAGGCCATGCTTACATTTGCTTGCAATTTTAGTGCGATCAAGATAAGACCTTGAGTTAGCAAGACAGATAGCACTGATCTACCACCAACATTAGCATTAGGTAATGGCAGGGGGCTAAGATGAGCAACCTAGGCTTCACGTGACTTGATATGGATTTGAACTTCTCCTGTAAGTAGCTTTACAGGTTGAACCTGGCTTAAGAAATCTTTCAGGTTTTACAAACCGGCAACAGAATGCCAACTGTATCAAAAACAGATTAGCTTAAATAGAATTACTTTTTAAAAAGCAGTTGGAGACTATGGTGGCTATGCTTGAATTCTTATATCCAAGCATTCCTCTCTTCCAAATGTGGGATTCTGTCCAGCTTCTGTTGTCCACCCAGGCTGTTTTTCACTGGTGTACCATACACACGAGGTAAATCCTGGTCTCAGTGAAGCCAATAGAAATGTTTCCTTCAGGGTTCAGCCTAGGTGCTTGCTTGAACGCTGCTTTTTAAGATTATGTTTGAGTTGGGTGCTTGTACTAGGAGGAACTGTTGATCTATACAAACAAGCTTTGTATCAATTCTGTAGTACAGCCTGATATAAAAGTTCACTATGAACTAAACTGCATGTAGGTATAGCTCACATATTCCATGAACTATAGTCCATTTGACAGAGCATGTGAAGAATCATAGAATCATAGAATGTTTTGGGTTGGAAGGGACCCCTAGAGGTCATCTAGTCCAACCCCCCTGCAGGAGCAGGGACACTGCTAACTAGATCAGGTTGCTCACAGCCCCGTCCAACCTGGCCTTGAATGCTTCCACGGATGGGGCCTCCACTACCTCTCTGGGCAACCTGTTCCAGTGTTTCACCACCCTCATTGTAAAGAATTTCTTCCTTATATCTAGTCTAAACCTACCCTGGTTTAGTTTAAAACCATTACCCCTTGTCCTGTCACAGCTGGCCCTACTAAAAAGATTTTCCCCATCTTTCCTATAGGCCCCCTTTAAGTATTGAAAGGCCGTAATCAGGTCTCCCCGCAGCCTTCTCTTCTCCAGGCTGAACAAGCCCAACTCCCTCAGCCTGTCCTCATAGGAGAGGTGCTCCAGCCCTCGGATCATTTTTGTAGCCCTCCTCTGGACCCGCTCCAACACTTCCATGTCCTTCTTGTGCTGAGGGCTCCAGAGCTGGACGCAGTACTCCAGGTGAGGCCTCACCAGAGCAGAGTAGAGGGGCAGAATCACCTCCCTCAACCTGCTGGCCATGCTTCTCCCGATGCAGCCCAGAGTACAGTTGACAGTGTGGCAAAAAAGTTTGCCATGATGGGATGCTAACTTAGTGTGAAGTGCAGCACTTCAGCTTTCCTGATAGTCTGACAAAACAGAATTAGATATGAACTAGATAAACCACAGACTTTTAATGGAAATTTTCTGGTTCAGTGGAATCTACTCCAATCGCAGATTTTCATGGAAACCTGCCTGCGTTCCTGATGGTCTGCCCATGACTTGAGGTTTCCAAGGGTCAAGGTTTGAGGGCAGCCGTACTATGTACACAGA